TAAGAATTATTTATTAAAATTATTTGGATAAAACCAATTAAAAACCTGAAATTTAGTAACTTTAAGATTTATAATGTTTATTATTTAGAATTTAAGTTAATGCAAGGTCGTTTAAACGCAAATTTACATAATTTGGATTATAAAGGGCAACCGTTATGGCGGAATAGATAGATCGATGACGCCAAGACAATTTATCGAATAATAATTGTGGCGTGGAAATACCAAAGGGAGTATATGCCATTTTTTTGTTGAGATTTGTTTACAAGGTATTTGTTTATAATGTTTAACATTGTGTATAAAACTTGAAAATAGCATTTTATTAAACTGAAAAAAAATTGTACAGTGTACAAGTCCAAAAGTTAATTTTGACAAATTATTTCATAAAATCAGTTTTAAAGTTTAAATTTTGTGAGACTATTTAAACTAAGTATTTTATAATAGTTTATTATGTATCAAGTTTGATAAATGCCATTTTAGGCACGAATTTAATTTAGGCATGAGCGAGCTTGCGAGCGAGTGCTTAATTAAATGAGTGTTTAGAAAAGTTTATAAACGAGTTACATGCTATACTTTTTCTACCACAAAAACTTATTATTATCTAAAAATTATTTAAACTAAATATTTGTATAGCGCTACATCTATAAAACAAAAGTGTAACCAACTTGGGTATCTGTATGTTAAATGTCAAATTTTTGCAGTTTTTTACATTGAAAATAAAAAAAATGTTTTATTGGCACTCCACGGTGGAGCCTCCACCCAAAATTGAGTTAAATATGGTTTGCAGCCGGCGAAATTAAAGGTCAGTTCATATAAAATTTTCAAATATTGGCGTGGAGAAACTATTTAATACTTTTGTTTTTTTTTTATTTATAAATAAAAAATTTCTATTATCTATTCTGCCGTGCTTAATGAAAACGCCGTAACCAACAATTTTGCGATTTTTGTTTTACGGCGTTTTCTACTAGAACAATTCATCCTGCGTCTATCCCCGGTACTCAAAAAACCGTATCTATATATATACGGTTTTTTTGAGTACCGGGGATAGACACAGGATGAATTGTTCTAGTAGAAAATGCCGTAAAACAAAAATCGCAAAATTGTTGGTTACGGCGTTTTCATTAAGCACGGCAGTATTATATATTATCTATCTAAACTGCGCACCACTCAATGTGTCGCGACCAAAAATTTCGTCCTTTTTCAAAACGATATAACTGTTTTGTTTCTTGAACGATTTTATTTTGGTTTGTAATGTCTGCTAGCCCCATTCTCTAGCAATTTATGCTATAGATATGAAGCTCACAGTTCTTCAAGTAAATTTACTACAGGGTGATATGTAAAACAGTGAAAAATTTCAATAACTTCATGCAAGCCCCGTTTGTAAAATAAATATTTTTTTCTCGTTTTTACTTTGAAATAATGAAGTATTATGTCTTACCTTGAAACCTTTTTCAAATTTTTCGAATTGGAATCTTAGCAACAAAAATATGATTTTTTTTTCAATAGAGTACATTTGATGATTTTTTGTAGGCAATACACTCAGCCTTTTTAAGAACAAAAAGATAAGATGGTGAAAGATTGTTCCTTGAATAATTTTGAACAAGCGACAAGCAACAAACTTCCATTATTTTCAGAGGAACCTACGCAAAGACCACTTTTTCAAAATTACATTTTAGTGAAATTTTTTGAAAACTAAACCTGAACCGATATTTACATTCGTGACATGTTTTCTTCATAATTTTGACCTGATTGTAATTCAGTTGTCAAATTTAGGTTTCAGATAAAACCAAAATCACCAAGAATCAATACTCGAAAACAATTCCTGGATGTTAAATGTCTCAATAAAATCTGATTGCTGGATTTTACTGTTTTTTTTACTGTGTTTTGCATTTTGATCAAATCAAGGATCAAATGATGAAAATTAAATGCCAATAATTTTGTGTTGGTGTACGACAATGCCCGTCCGCATCGCGCTTATATCTTAAATGAATATTTAAGGGACCATGATATTGAGAGAATGAATTGGCCACCTTTGTCTCCGGATATGAATCCTATTGAGCATGTGTGGAGCAGGATGAAACTGAAGATGAAAGAGAGAAAAGGACGCATGGAAAATTTGGATGAATTGGTAAATTCGATTCAGGAAGAATGGAAAGCCATACCCCAGTAATTTCTAAGGAACTTGGTCTAGGGAATGCTCAGGAGGGTTAACGAATTATTACGGGTTAGGGGAGGGCCAACGAAATATTGAAAGTTATTATTGTTATTGTTTGTTACATTTTTCTGTTGAATGTTGTAGTTTTTATTATGATTATATCTTCGGATAAAATTTTCAAAAATAAACAAACAAATTTTGTATTTAACTTTATTACCAATTAGGTAGGTACTTATCAGTAATAAGTTATCACTAGTGTGCAATATAAATGTAATTTATGTAACATTATCCTAACCACTCAAACAAAAATGAATCCCCAAATGGCATTGGCAAAGGCATGTTATTGAGACATTTAACAGCCGGAAATTGTTTTCGAATTTTGATTCTTGGTGATGTTGGTTTCATATAAAACTTAAATTTGACAACTGAATCACATCAGGAGGTCAAAATTATAAAGCAAACATGTCACCAACGTAAATATCGGTTCAGGTTAAGTTTTCGCAAATTTTCTCCAAAATGTCATTTTGAAAAAGTGGTATTTGCTTAGGTTCCTCTGAAATTAATGGAAGTTTGTTGCTTGTCGCTTGTTCAGAATTATTCAAGGAACAATCTTTTACCATCTTATCTTTTTGTTCTTAAAAAGGCTGAGTGTATTGCCTACAAAAAAGCATCAAATGTACTTCATTGAAAAAAAAATCATATTTTTGTTGCTAAGATTCCAATTCAAAAAATTTGAAAAACGTTTCAAGGTAAGACATAATACTTCATTATTTCAAAGTAAAAACGAGAAAAAAATATTTATTTTACATGATGAAGTTATTGAAATTTTTCACTGTTTTACATATCACCCTGTAGTAAATTTAATTGAAGAACCGTGAGCTTCATATCTATAGCATGAATTGCCAGAGAATGGGGCTAGCAGACATCACAAACCAAAATAAAATCGTTTAAGAAACAAAAAAGTTATGTCGTTTTGAAAAAGGGCGAAATTTTTGGTCGCGACACATTGACTGGTGCGCAGTTTATTATATATTATCTATTATCTATAGATAATAAAATAATTTTCACATTTAGTATTATTTTACAAGAAAGGCACTTTATTTTAACAATTGTATGACATTTGACAACTGTCAACTAACTTAAAACTAACTTCAGCCCGTGACTAAAAACCTGTTGCTAACTTTAGCCCGTGACTAAAAAGGCCATAGAGCCACCACTTGTCAGTTTGTATTTAAAGGTCACTTCGTGTCATGTCACAATAATAGGCATTATAAAGGTGATAGTATAAAAAATATAATAATCTTATTTTGTAAAATTATTTATATCTTCTTACAAAAATACATTTTAAACCTTTAAATTAATTTTAGAAAATGACTTGTTAAAATGAAATTTTTAGACTTGTACTATTTTTAATCTTACCTATTCAATTAAAGTAGTTTGTTTTATTTACATTTTATTTTTAATGCATATATTTTGTTTGTATACTATAGTAATTTTTATAAATCCACCTTAAAGTTTTATGTATATTTACTATTAGATAGAATATATTATGTATGAAGGGGTGAGAAGGGGTACACGTGCATTTTAGCATAAAAATAAGTTAAGTGCAGAATTGGGTAGTTTAAAGTCCAACTTGTAAATTGTACGAGTTCTGCATGTTGATTAATGCAAATATTGAAACAAGTATCCAGATTTTTGTATATAGCAAAAACTTTATTTAATAACTCCTTTTATCTTTTTTGCACTTGTACCCTTTTGCTTCTTAGCCCTTCATAAATTATATTTATTTATAGTATAAATATATTAAAAGAGTACCTAGTACCAAGAGTATTTTAACATACAAGATTTAATAAAGTTAAGTACATTGTTAAGAAATTTAGTAAACACAACAGAAACAGATCTTGAACTAAAACTATGTTAAAAATATTGGCCGTTGACCTTACATTTTACAATAACTTTTATAATAATAGAGGTAAAACATTTTCTTTACGCCGAATATCCTAAATGAACATTTAATTGTAACCTGGGTTTACAATTACAAAACTCTAAGAACAATGAAATGACATTGAAAAATAATAATATAGTTTTAAATGAAGTAAAACGCGCTATGACATAACTTAAGTAAACCGTTATATATTATTAACTATTACATTTTTTATGAAATTTCAAAATATGTATGTAAATCTAATTTTTAAAAAAACGGTATTACAAAAATATTTTGCAATCATGTTTACATACAGTAGTCAACATTTTTTTATTAATATGTATATTTTAAAATAAAACTAGTAAAATGTAAAAATATAATATAATTTTAACAGAAGTCCAAGTTGCAACCATTTAAATTTGTATAATCATTTTTGGATTCAGCGTACCCAAATTACCCTAGAAAAGTTTTTTTAACCTCCCCAACTATAAATTGTGTAATTAACGAATTATTGCTGGATGTAATATTAACAAAGTTTTTTTGGATAATAGTTGTTTTAAAATATAATATTAACAAAATTGAATATAACTGTATCATTTATTTTCTTTAAAAAAATTGTGTTATGCATAATTCATGAATATTTTATTAATAGAAGTTAAACTTATTACTTCTCGTTTAAAAACATACAAGGCAATAAACTGAAACAAAAACAATATTTATGACAACAATTAAGTAATTGTCTACACTTTTAAGTAGTGTACATATGTTAAACAAATCTATATATTTACTAATTCTACAAAATTATAACCAGGGCTAACTAAAAATAATTTTCATATGGAGGGGAAATTACCTACAAAAATTTTACAATATAAAGACACAAATTACCGAGCAAATGTTTTAATTTATTTAACAACAACCAAGAAAATGTTTATAATTTTAACCGTGACAGTGATGTGCATAACGTTTAGGTATGCAGATTTTTTAAGTGACATCGAATATCGATATGGAGGTAGTTATAAAGAATACAACAGTATTTATCCAGAAGGAAATGATTATAGCACCAAACTCAACATTTTTAAAAAACCCACACATAACGATTTACATGTAAATATACCTCCAGTTAATCCAATTATGGGACAATCAGTGCCAGTTGAATACAATGGATACTCAGAATTAGACGATAGATATGGACTTGTTGGTAAAGGATTTAATTTGTTTGGGAGGAGTGATTTAGATACCAGATATAATTTAGTCAGTGATTCTGGGTATGAGTACCCAGTACCCAATACAGCATTCGTTCCAAAAACTATGTATGGATATACATATACATCTCAGAATCATGGTGGTGCAATTTTACCTTTAAATTATGATAGCAGATATCCTTATGGAAAAGTGGGGTATAATTACTTAGATTATAATTCGCCTGAAAAATTTATTATTAAAAGAAACCATCAATAATACTGAATATTGTTTTAAATAAAACCAAATGTATTTAAATATAAATTATGACATTTATAAATCATTTATAAATTAAATACCACCATAGAAAAATGTTGTAACCTAAATTTTTGTTGTATTGGCGATTTTAATGAGAAAACATAGTGACTAGCACGTGGTCAATAGTTTATTGCTGCCATTAAATTGAATATTAAATGATAAAGCAATGTAATTTTAGTCGTTGTACGAACTAAAAAATCTATATTACTCTAAAGGAAAATAGAAATAACTATTTTCCAATTTTCCAAAAAAAAAAATTATTTGTTTAGTTACGACATTATTCTATAGAGGTTTTTATCATTGTTTTCTTTCTCATAGCTATACTTTTAAAATATTATTAAGTAGTACAAATATCATCATGTAAATTTAAATATAACTCTAAACTTTGAATAAACCAGAAATCTTTTTTTGTTAAAAATTATTATGAATTTTTTTTTAAGAATTAATTTATAAAATCATTTATTAAAACATTAAATTATAGAAGATAAGTTTTTGTAAATAAATTAAATGTATTTATTAAAAATATTGATTTTCTAAAACTGTTATTAAATTTTGTTAATTGGTTTCAATAAATAAAATGCCATCCATTTTTTGTGTAAATCATACTATTTTTAGACATTAAATATATTTAAATTAAAGGGATTTCAAAAAAACGCAATGGACAAAAATTTAGGGAATTCTACTTTATTGTTAAATTTAAGCAGGGGCAGGGTTAAAGACATAATTTTGTTTCCCGTAAAGTACATATCGCTCGATAAGACAGTATGAAATATTTATATTATAAGTGACTTTACGACCCAGAAGGGACAAGATTGGAGTCCCAGCACAAAATAAGCTAGTCAGTCGCGAATTAACAAAGTCCACAATAGATTAATAAATAAGCAAAAGATTTCCACCAGAAATTATTAAAATAATAATAACGTTCTCATTATTGTGCTCGGAGCACGTTCGCGAAGCTTCAAATGAATTTTCGCGCACTTTCCTGGCCAAGCATTTTGAAGCACAATCGCTATAAATTAAAGCGCGATAAAAGTGGCAACATTGCGACACGTTTTGCAAAAATCACACGTGGTGTGGCCGCTGGCTTAATAATTAATTAATTAAGAGGTAAAATAACCATAAAAAATATAAAATTACTAAAAAATGTCAAATAATTGAGTAATAAAAATTTCATACCTCTAGTAATAATTTTATAAAAACTACAGTAGGTACTTTAAAAATATTTATTTATTTACTTCCATGTACCCACACAAACATGGGAGTAAATGGATAAACATTTTTGAAGTTTAAAAACATCACCAATGTTATGAAATTTTTGTGCTCAATAATTTAACATTTACCTATTAATTAATTAGTTACACATGCCCACAACATAAAAAAAGTTGCGAGGGCTAAGAAACAAACCATACTTTTTTATTGCATTTTTTTTTTCGCTCATCACGAATATAGTCAGAATTGGAGGTTACTAATCAAACTTCTAAAAGAAACATATTTTGGTAGCCTGAAAAAGAAAACTGTTAATTATAATTTAATTATTATTATTATTCAATTTTTTTTTTAAATTCGAAAAAAAAATATATAAAAGAAATCAAACAAAAAGTAGCCTTTAAAAATCAAATTGATCCGTTGCTCTGTTACAGAGAATACGATTTTTGACACAAAACTTATTTGAGTGTCCTAATTTACCAACTTAGGAATGGAATTTTTAAACAATTGTACTTACCGGTCATTATTGATTTTTTTATAAGTTTGATCTATTATCCCTAATTCTTATTTTACATTCGGGTTCAGCGGAAAAAATACAAAAAATAAGTATAATTCGTTTCTTAGCACACTTTTTTATTTTATGGGCCTTCCATCTTTCAGTGACAAAAATTTGAAATTTTTTTAATTTTTATTTTAATTTTTTATTTCAAACAAGGTTAAAGGCGTATAGCTTTTCCTAATTCAGACATTATTAAGGCACTTTTTCAAGTAAAATTCAATTCTTTCGTTCGTCTTTTGTTGCCAGCTTTTAAAACTGCCAAAATAAAATAGGCGAGATACCCATGCCTAGAAAAAAACATATGTTTTTAATTGATTTAATTAAACCGTTTAACATAAAAGTTACTAAAAGTTACTAGTTACTAATAAGGAAAATATTTTTACACAGGTCTGTAAAAATATTGAGAAAACTGGTAATCTTCTCGAGAACGTTGAGAAAATTGAGAATCTTCTTGAAAATATTTAAAAAAATCAGAATACTTATGAGAATATTGAGAATAAACAAGAAACATTGTTAAAAACGTTTAATGGTCTGCTGTATTAATTCTAGGGAATTTTTCGATTTAGTTAGTTTTTTGTTTGTTCTGAATTTTCTTTCTCGATTTTTGAAGTAAACATTTTTTAAGTTGGACATTGTGGAGAGTGATAGTAGAATTCCCCAAGATATTTAAAGAATAAACAAAATTAATAAAGAAGAAAAAAGCTATTTTAAATAGTTTTTAAATACTAAGCCTTAATTACTCGTTCTGGTGTATTGTGTAACACAGTGCAGTGTCACGATTCTTACGACCTTTGTTTAGTGTATTTGGAACCTGATTAGTTTGGTCATATTGAGGTTTTGCTATTAAAATTGCTGATTTAATGTATAAAATACACCGCGCAATTCATTATGTGTTTTTTATACAATTATTTATAATAAATATTTATTTTTATAACTAGACATATTTAAATTTATTTATAACTTAAATTATAAAGTATAAAAAATTAAATCAAAAATATTAAAGAATAAGCTAAAGGCAAATACAATAATAAATCTACGAGATGTATCTGATATTTTGTATAATTACTTACTATTTAATACTCGATTTAATATTTATTAAATAAGGTTACAGTAATAATATGTTGGGTATAATTATTTTAATTTTATATAATAAAAAGTTTATTGGTAAAAGGTAAAATAAAAATTAAATGTATTTAAATTAAATAAATAACTATACGAAATCATTGGTATAATATAGTTAATATTTAATTAGTAATTAATAATCACAGTTACTAATATAAACATTACCTCATTATTTTTAACCTATTTATTAGAATATTATTTTTTTACATCATTAATATTGATTGTTTCAGATAAAGTATAGTTTTACACTCGAGATTATGCGCATTATCCCTCGTATAATAATATACCTACTATTATCTACAAAAAACGCATTTTTTTTAATTTATAAATTTAATGTAATACACTACACTGGTGTAGATACTTGAAGCATTAAATTGAGGAAGGGTGAGGTTGGGACCGCTTGATGAATGTCAGATTGGGAAAAGTGAGGTTGACCCGTCTGACAGTTGTCAGATTGGTAAAAAAATGTTAAACTGATTAATATTTGTCAAACGTCACATAAAGTGTCACTCTGCTCTTGACGCTTGAAGTGTAAGCATATGCTCATCGATCTCTCTTAAGCAGCGTATACGATACAAATGTAGTAACGTGATAACTGGTTAACGCCGTAAAATAATAAAAAATCAATCGATTCTAAACGTGATAACTGTCCCAAGTGCAAAAAAAAGTGCAAATTGTGTGTGGTACCTCCCCCATTGATTAAATCCTCAAGTGTTGGACCTGGTTAAAAGGTGTGAGAGAGACGACACTTCCACGAAATTTACTGGACTACCACTAAGTTTTTTTTTTTTTTTCAATTGCATGTCTTACCGTATATTCGCTAAATGTTTATAAAAGCATTTCACAATGTTTATGTAAGCATTTCACAATGTTGCAAAAAGAAAATACTAAGAATTCTTTTATTGTCTCAAAAACTAAATTAAAAAAGAATAAGAACATTTCCTTAAGTTTAAACAAACAACCTCATTTTCTCATAGCAGACAAATCATAAACAACCATCGAAAAAGGCGTAAGATAAATAAATAATAAACTAAATATGCAAGAAGACAAAAATAAAATAAACAAGTTGAGTGTGAATAGCAGTATTGCCAGATGTAAAAGTTGAAATTAACGAATTGGGTAAATAAAATTATCGAATTTTCGGAATTAAGTTACAATAATTGTAATAACTATGTAACAATAATTATTATAATTTAATCATAAAAAAAAAAGTAAAAGAGAAAGAAGCGAACTTTTAGAAAATCTAAAATTTGTAAAAGTAAAAAAAATACCCCCCAGGGAACTGCCTTATCGCAGCGATTGCGGCCTTACGCTCGGCACGAGTGATGGGCTCCTCCGCGGGGGGGTGCAGCCTCCCGTGGCCTATACGGGGGATGGTCTACACGGCGGTAGTCGTAGCACGATTGCCGTTGTGTGGATTGTCTTCCGGGGGGGCCGCGGGGGGTAGTATTTCTTTGCGGGGGAGTTTATCATGTGTGCCGATTATCGTACCAATGGGAAAAACCATTACCAAAAGGGTAAGAGTAGCCCAATTAAACACTGGGTCCACGTCACTCGTAGACAACGCAACAACATACTACAAGCCACCCTTAAACTAGATCTTAAAGACAAAAAAAATCGGTAGACCATGCTTCACATTTCATGACACGTAGCACAATACATGCACTTCTCACAAAGTAACAAGACCAGTTGGGAGCAACTAAACAACAATAAAAATAAAAAAAAAAAAAAACAACCGACACACTTTACCAAGTTCAGGAACTATCCGACACGGATAATGACAATAATGAACAAGACGAAGACCTCGACTAGGAAACTACACCCCTGCAGCGTAATAACAACTCCCCAACTCCAAATAGTAATCCCAAATGTTTGGAGTAATACTAACCGACTGGTCTAGGGGGATTCCGCGTCGTACTTAGTTTTAAGTCGGCGTAATTGTCCCCCAATAACCAACTCCCTCCCGTCCCTCATCCATACCTCACTGAGCGTATAGCATAGGCCCGGCGAACCCGGGAACGGCTATTATAACTATTCGCCTCTCGCTCTCGAGCCCCAAATAGGGGACAGTACAGAACGCAATGGACATTCGCACCCAGCAAACACGGGTGAAGCCGTGCAGTTGCTGGGGAAGAACAAAAATCGGCGTAAGTAAACATAGGCCTGTACGGGGTTTAAGAGTCAAGAGGAAATGGGGCTGGTTATACGTCTCTTATACTCATACTCATACTCATACTCATTAATATTGATTGTTTCAAAACGTTAAACGTAAATAGATTTGTAAATCTACAAGTAGCATCTGTTGGCCTGACAAATCTAAAAAGTAGCAATAAACCAATCCGAAATTCACACTGCGCATTGCGTACGTGTTTTATAAATAAAAGTTAATTACATGCGTTTACACACGCTCAGATACGACATTAACAATAAGAAAGATTTTAAATTGCCTGCATAATTACTGAGTTCATATCGCATACTTGAAATTTGTCGGACGTAAACCAAGCGTAACAATATTTAACTAAATTTTTCTCACAAGCTGAGGCTAAGTTGCAAAACATCCCAAAAGAATTAGTGGGGAAGTTATGAAATATTTCTTTGTTATATTGTATAAAACGATGAATTTTTCTTTAATATTTATCACACTTCTTTAGTACGTTCCAAGACAAGCAACAACAAAAATGTTCAGACAAATCGTGTTTTTGGCGGTAGTGGCTTTTGCAAGCAGTGCTCCATCTCCTGGATTCCTTCACGGTGGATATCATCTACCTGCAGCTACCAGCTACAGTTCCAGAGTCGATGTGCATCATAGCAAGCCTATTATTCACAGCTACGCCACTCCAATCATTGCCAAGACTATTGTTGCTGAACCCATCCACAGTTACAGCGCCCCATTGTTATCCCACGGTTACGGATTGGGACAAGATCTTTCTTTGGGTCATGGATATGGTGTGGGACTTTCCAGTGGTTATGGACATGGACTTTCCAGCGGATACGGACATGGACTTTCCAGTGGATATGGACTTGGACTTTCCAGTGGATACGGTCATGGACTTGGTCATGGAATTGGATACGGACACGGATGGTAAAAAGTTCTAACCATTGTTTTTATGTATATACTTTGTACAATAAATCTATTTATTATCATTTATTTTATGGTTTGTTTTGCTTCTTTAAATATTTTATACTTTATTTTCCTTCTAATGCACATTGATTTTTAAAACTAAGCAAATGTATTTTATCTTTAAGCGTTACTACAGTAACACACCGTACTATAGTAAAACAATATTAGTACCGAACGCCACCGTAGTAAATATTGTCTTACTAGTACCGAAAATCACCACAAGCGTTTAATAGGGATATAAAAAATTAAAGATCTTTTATGGTTGAGATCAAATGACAGATTAAATTAAATGACAATCTTTTAAATTTATCATTTAAACCTATCCTAAAAATCAAATTTTATAATAAATGAATAATTTGTATACATACATTGCGTACACTGTACATTGTGTTACAACTCATTATTTGGGAATGAATTGATCGATTTTAAAATATTTTTTTGGAAGATGGGATAGGATATTACTTAATGTGTTTTTTTAAACATGTGCAAAAATTTTAAATTTTAATTTTTTTAAGGCCTGCTAAGATCTGCTAAATTTGTAGCGGTGCCTCAAATATTATTTGTTTTTCTTTCGTGGTTCATTAAAATTTCTGAGGAACGGCAAAAGATATCGATTTGAAATTTTTAGAGCGTTTATTAATTAATTAAGGCTAGATTTCTAAAATATTTTAAACAAAATGCCACTTCCGGTTTGACCGTAAGTGGCATCATCTTTGTTATTTTAAATAGAACACCCCATATATTTTTACATTTATAAATTCTACATAAAATTTTGAGTAAAATGTCTTATACATAAAGTGAATAGTTTTTGAGTTATTATTTTTTTTCGTTAAAATGCGCGTCAATCAAAAATAGTCTATAACTCTTTTGGTATTAGGTTTGCCGAATTGGGGGTGGAATTTTTGGAATCTTAAAACATTGTTTAAAAGATTCCATGTCAATTCTTTTAGATTTTTTAACAAATTACCCATTTTAAATTAAAATTAAATTTTAAATGAAAAACCCTGTATGGTTTTACATAATCATATATTATATCACGAGAACTATGAATTTAATGGATTAAACTAGGCTCAGTAGTTTTTTGTTTGTTTTTGTTGGAAAATGTTAAATGCAAAATAATTTAATAAAATCACGAGACCGCATAGCGGTCAAGGGGTTTTATTTTTAATTATTTTGCATGAAACTATTTTTCAAAAAGAAAAATCAAATAAAAAACTTACTGAGCATAGTTTGACAGATTAAATTTATAGGTTGAGTGATATACGTTTAGATTATTTCTCGAATTAAAGGAAACTATTTGACAATTCATAAAGCCTGACGTATGTTTCAAAATTTATAAATATTTTTTTAAAGAAAATTCCATTAATTTAAGGTATGTATTAAGTAATAATATTTCGTAAACTAGATAACTTGTTTTTTATTGTTTTTTTTTAAATGTTTGTTCTTCTTCTTCTTTCTTTCTATTTTCGGTATTTTCAACCTTGGTGCTTGAAATCTAGTCCATGTGACCATATGCTTGTTTTAACGTCTCACGGCTTCAGAAAGAACTACCTCCGCCATTCGACAATGTGGAAATTTCAATCTTGAAACATCCATTCAATCATTTATACAATTCACAAAATACCTCACTAAAAGATCAAAGCTTGCGATATTGTTAACAAATACAGGTATATTTCTACACCGGGAATCCAATTTTGTACCCCCCGGTTCGCAAAGTCAGCTATGTTTCACACTTTTCATCGAGCGATGCGCAGCCCACGGCGTACAAAACCGAACTCCTAAATGTTTGTTAAAACTTGTAAATAACACCATAAAATCGTAAACAAAAATCCAATATGGAGGCTAAAATTTAATCGCTGTTAAATAGTTCTAGTGATTTAATCGCTTATTCAAACGAAATTTATTCGAAAATTCAAGGCTTTTGATTGGTTCATATTATAATGAGGGAAATAATCATTTATTATATCACGAGAACTATGAATTTAATCGGTTTAACTAGGCTCAGTAGTTATTTGTTTGGTTTTTGTTGGAAAATGTTGAATGCAAAATAATTTAATAAAATCACGAGACCGCGTAGCGGTCGAGGGGTTTTATTTTTAATTATTTTGCATAAAACTATTTTCCAAATAGAAAAATCAAATAAAAAACTTACTGAGCATAGTTTGATAGATTAAATTTATAGGTTGAGTGATATACGTCTAGATTATTTCTCGAATTAAAGGAAACTATTTAACAATTCATCAAATCTGACGTATTTGTCAAAATTTATAAATATTTTTTTAAAGAAAAGTCCATTAATTTAAGGTATGTTATAATAATGTATATTTCGTAAACTAGATAACTTATTTTTTATTGTTTTTTAAAAAATGTTTGTTAAAACTTGTAAATAACACCATAAAATCGTAAACAAAAATCCAATATGGAGGCTAAAATTTAATTGCTGTTAAATAGTTCTAGTGATTTAATCGCTTATTTAAACGAAATTTATTCGAAAATTCAAGGCTTTTGATTGGTTCATATTATAATGAGGGAAATAATCAGAAGTAAAACCAATTAGGCAGCATTGAAGCTAAATAAAATCGTTTTCATTAAGTGCAAGCAAAATACATATATTTTTTAAAATAAAATCTTTGGTTAATGCAGAAGGGTATACAATAAAAGGTAAACTTTAGCGTATATTTTAAATAAATCGTTATATAAAATATAAATAGCTTACATTTATATCTAAAAACTTTAATTTTAATAAAACAAATTTAAATCTCTTATGTTACTGGTTAAAATAAAATAAACTAATAAATTGCCTCAATAAATGGTATCATATGTAATTTTTGATTCCTGCTTCAAGGTTAAAACTACATTTTAGTTTTGGCAAACTGCACTAGACTAACTTACATTCAAATTATAATTTTTAATTTATCAACCCACCCAGGACAAGTAAATTTGAATATCCAGTATAAAAAGATAATGATAACATATTTGTTAGCAGTCTTAATTATTAGTTGTTCAGTTTTCGTCCTTGGGTAATAAATCAAGATGTTTTTAGTTTTTGTGTTTGTGTTAACTGTGGCTGCTGCAACTGCTAAACCTCATTTTGGATATCCTTCAGTTCCAACCTACAGTTTTCCTTCATACATTCCAACTACCTATAGAGAAAACTTTAATGGAAACCCGTTGCTGACTCCATCTATGTTTACTTCATCAATTTATCCCTACTCATTCTCTCCACCTGTTCAACAAGGAAAAACTGAAAAACCTAAAATGGCCGAACCCTTGACAACAAAGCCTCCAGTTACCATATCATCTTCTCCAGATGAAAACATAGAAAGTTTTACCGAAGATAATGTCGAGACTACAACGAAACCAAACAAAAGGATCGGAGGTGGTAGTAAAAATACCCCTACAAAGAATCCCAAAGATGACAGTGAAGTGTTTACTCAACCTTATGGTCCAACGGTATATAATATTCCGGTAGTGCCAACATATCCTGCTTCACCAGCTTATCCATTTTATCCACAAACACCTGTGATTTATTATTATTAAAAAACATTTACCTTGTATCGATTTTTGTAGATATTTACATGGAATTAATATGTTCACTAAATTTTTTCTTCTAAAAAATATAAAATGCTATTAACTATATTAACATCTAATTATTTTTAGATTTAGTTTTTTGGTGTGTGACAATTTTGTTAAGATAATCAACCAGTTTTGAGTAGTAAATCATTTAACTTTTGTACGGCAGAAATGTCACCTTAGTTAACCAGTTTTATAAAAAAAATATTAAATCAGTTTAATTTTAATTTGGAACTAGTTTTTGTTAACCTTTATTAAATATATGTATGAAAAGTAGTAACCTATACCAAGTTAAAATATATTATTTTAAATTTAATTTATAACAAATAAACATTGTAATTTAAATGCATATACAGGATGTTTCAAAATCGTGGTCCATTAGAAGTTTCTGGGGAACGGAAAAAAATATTTAATGCGTTTATAATCCATTTAAGTCGATTTTTCTAAAATGTTTTGAACAAATTCCACTTCCGGTTTAACCGGAAGTGACATCAACATATTTTAAATGAATCACGCCATATATTTTTACATTTTAAAATTCTACATAAATTTCTGGGTAAAATTACTATACCTAAACTAAATAGTTTTCGAGTTTTGATTTTTTTCGTTAAAATTTGAGAAATGCGCGTCAATCAAAAATAGCCTAAAACTTTTTTGTTATTAGATTTGCGAATATGGGGCAAATTTTTTAAATCTTAAAACATCATTTAAAAGATTTTTTGTTAATTCTTTAAAATATAAATTCCTTGATAAATCCCAGGGCACATTAACTTGACTATTTCCCTTGTCTTAATTTCCACCAAACGCGCAATTTTGAATTACAAATGGTTTCTAGGTGGAAAAACTGTATGACAGCACCTGTCAGCAGTTTTTCGAGTTTAACCGTCACCAAAATTGCAATTTAGATTTTAATTGTACCATAAATAATTAGGTTTGTAGTATTTTGTGATTAAATAAATTACCTAATAATACCTATTTTTCAGTTTTCAAATTAATACCTACATATTTAATATGTACGCATGTATAATTGGTAGTATGTTTTGTAAGCTATGTGTATGCAAAATAACTGTTACTCATGAAATAGTCTTGTCAAATACCATTCGGGCATCTAATTTTTCCTGTGAAAAAAATCGAAAAAACACAATACTAAGTAATATTTTTAAACAAAATGCATTCGTGCAGGTGCAAAAATCTTCGCCTTTGACTCGGATTTTTGCTGCCACCAGTACTCATGCTTCTTGTTAAAATATTACTTAGCAACGTGTTTTTTTAATTTTTTTCGGAAAAATTAGATGCCCTTATTATATTACTTACGAAAAGTTAATAACTTTTTTATTTTAAATTTAACACGCTGTATGTTTTAACATTATCAAATAGTAAATTAAAAAACCT